ATTTTTACAAGCAAGATTAGGATGGCACAGTTGGAAAGAGAATTTCCCTCATCTGTCCCCTCACTCACCCACCCCAACCCTTGGCAGAAAATAAACTGAAGAGTACTGCTATTCTGAGACCATAATACTTGTTGTGTATTATTCTGGTATTTATTGTAAATATATTTTTAAAATTAGGAATTTCGTGAGGATATGCCTTCCATTCTTGCTGATGTATTCTGCATATTAGGTAGGTATAAAATCTTTATTTCACCTGTAATGTATGTTGTTTGATAAATTAATGTTAAATAAAATGTTTTTTCAAAATAAAGATTTTACAAGTGTGCAAAAGCTTCTACAAATCTAAAGCAATTTTTTTACTTTGTAGAGAATATAGTATTTTGAGACAAATGTTGGTACAATCACTTATAGTTTTAAAATATAATTCAAAATTTTTGAGTGTTTAACATATATTCATATAAATTTAAGCTAAATTATTTCAAGTAAAAACAGCCAAGTTTTCCAATATTTAGCTTGTCAGTTATTGAAAGGTTAGTAACCAAATAATTAATGTCACTTAATTGATTTATGCCAAATAGGTTTTCAGTGAATGATGTCAAAATCTTAGGACATTCAAGATATTTACTTTGTTGTTGAACTCTTTTAATTCTTCTTAGTTTTAGAACGAGCAAAAAGAGCCTAAGTAATCAAAAGTACTTTTGAGGATGAGTAACCTGCTTTGGAAATAGCAACTTCTTTATTTGTCCAGAATAAATAAGAATTCATGCAGGATAAAAAAGGAATATTTCTTTGACTTAGAGCAAAAAGTAGTGTCCCTCTATGGGAAGCACAGACTTAAAAAATAGTGTGGATTACAATTTTTTTTTTCTAATTTTAGATTCACAATAAAATAGCTTTGAACACTGTTTCCCCATCACTTTTGTGCTTTCCTAAAACTTTGAATTAAATGGAAAGATTTCTAGACATTATGATAATCACTGTAAAACAAGATATCCTCTGAGAGTTTGTCAAGCTGTAATGAATATTTTAGCTCATTAATCTTAAACCCTAGAATTAGGTAAATTAAATGTTTCACTGAGAGTCCAGAATTTGATCTCAACAAATATATAAATGTCTGTGCTTGATCCTTTGGGATGTTTCAAATTTCATAATAGTGGTTATGTTGGGAACAGGTCAAATTATATGTGGACTGTGAGTGATAAATGAAACGAACAAACCATTGATGGTGCGACCATGTGTTTTAGTTTTATTTTTCCTGGTATGATTATCGATAGTGCCCTCTTTCAATCTCAAAACTGTCCTTTTTGGAAGTACATGTTTCTGCTCTCAGGTGGATTGATTGATTAATGCCAAATAGAAAACCTTTAAAACTTAATTTTTAAAATAGGTACTAAAGATATTTTGTTAGTTTATAAGGAAGTATAATATGAAACAAGTTTCAATTTTGATTTTTTTTTACAATGTATTTGTAAGACTGAAAGACTGATTTGTAGGTGATGTTTTGTGAAAGCTGTTGTTTCTTAATAGTAGTGTTAGGTGTCTGGTCATCATGGTGCCCTGCTGAAATCCCAGCTACTTAGGAGACCAAGGCCAGGAGGATTACAAGTTTGAGGCCAGCCCTAGCAACTTAGACCTTGTTTCAAAATATAAAAGATAAAAGGGGGTGGGACTGTAGTACTGGTAGAATGCCCCTTGGGCTCAATCTCCACTACCACCACCACACCAAAACAAACAAAAAAATCAAGAGCATAGTTTGTAATCAATTATCAGCTAACTTGTTCTAGTAATGTCTTTATTAACTTTATTAGCATATAGTTTCCCTTCATAGTTATTTAGTGATATGAATTATTGTTACAAGTCATTGTATATATATATATATATATATATATATATATATATACACACACACACACACACACTACACACACACACACACAATACCTTCATTTTATTTATTTATTTTTTTACGTGGTGCTGAGGATTGAACCCAGTGCCTTGCATGTGCTAGGCAAGCGTTCTGCTGAGCCACAAACCCAGCCCAAGTCATTGCTTTTTATTGGTAACATGAATTCATTAAGATGATGTTTGGTTCTCTTGGGAAATTTCTTTTAGCTTATCCAGCCCATTTTTACAAGCAAGATTAGGATGGCACAGTTGGAAAGAGAATTTCCCTCATCTGTCCCCTCACTCACCCACCCCAACCCTTGGCAGAAAATAAAATACAATCCAAGGGTGACCCCAGACCAAGGAGAATAGGAATAAGAATGTGAGTTATCTGTAATGACGATGATGATAATGATGATGCTGATGATGTAGGTGCTATTTTTGGAGCACCTTGTATGTTTTAGGTATTGTATTAACCATTTAATTTAATTTTAATCCTCATAGCATCTTTTGTAAGGTAGGTATGTAGATGAGGAAAATAAGGTTCAGAGAAGTGATTTTTCTATGTTGTCTTTCTAATATGTTAAGAGTTTTAAGGGTGCTGTAATTTCTAGGTTCACATAATAACTTTCATGTGAGGTGAAGGGAGTGTGAGAGCTGTAGTAACCTGAAAGCAGGACTCTGTTGTAACTTGATGTGCTGATGTGATCTCTGAGATACTGAGGACAAGAGTTGGAAATAGTTGGGCTTTTTATTAAAATTGAAGGGGAAATTAAAAAGAACTTACAGAAAATTTACTGTGGTCCTGTTAAGCATTTGCTCATATGGTCAGAACTTGAGATAATGATATCATAGTCATCATGTTAGGTGGCTGAGAGGAGAGCAGCCTTGACTTGAAGAAAATGAATCTGTTCATAGGTTCTCTGATCTTAAGAACCTTGGGGGGGGGGGTGAATATTATGGACTTTAGGGCCCTGGAGGATAAGTAGTTATTGGTTCAAAGAATGATTACAGATTAGCTTCAGCCCTTTCAGGTCAGTATCTTTAAAGTTCTAGATTGAGGAAGAACCAGAAGAACAGATTAATAGTGTGAGAAAAGTGATTCCCTGATGAGAGATACAAACAGACTAAAAAGTCTTAATGAGAAATTGGAGATTATATTGCATTTTGCATGCATAGATCACACCCTAACCCCACCCCACCCCCTTTGGTGCAACAGAGTACACACAAGGCCTTACACATGCTGGACAAGTGTTTATACCACTGAGCCATATCCCCAACCCTTAACATTTCCTTAATACACTTGAGCTGGCTTTGTGCTTAGTTATAGTGGCCAGGATATGGAGAAATGGCAACTCTTGAAGAAGGAAAGATGAAAAAGGGCCAGAAAAATATGGTTATGTTTGATGATAAATCCCCCTTTCTTTTGATTTTCAGTCTTGACAATAGAAAGTAAACTAAGCAAAGCTGTGAAAGGACTTCTGTTGTTTTTTGAGACCACATAGAGACCAATTTTTATTACTTCACTAAAATTGGTGCCTTTTTAATATTCTAAGTTATCAAATTCAAAGATAGGCTTATAGTATGTAATCAGTTAGAGCAATAATCCTGAAATCAGCCTTGTTTGCCTTTCTGCCAATCCTGGTTGGAATTTTTGATGCTTGGCATTTATCACCAATTGTTTTATTTCTGTACATCTCAGATCCAGAACTAGCTTGACAAGCTTTCTGAATAATTTGTTGAAACTCAGGGAGGTCCTGGTTTTAAATATTTCAGTAGAAAGAAAACATAAATATGAATAATTTTTAATTTAGTGACTAGAATTGTCATTCAAAATATGATGTTAAGTATCTTTTAGTATTGTCTTTTCATAATGTTGGTGGCCAGGTAACTTAGAATATGTTAGCTTGAGCAAGGTGGCTGTGGTCAGAGGTTTGAGAGTTAGAGGATCTTTCGAGTTAAAAGATATTTTGTCATTACCCAGTTCAACTTTGCAATAAAGGAAATCATCCCTTTGTTAGTGTTTCTAAGAAGTGATAATTAAACTTGAATATTTCCCTTTTTTAAGAATAGTATTATTATTATTTTTTGGGACTGGAGATTGAACCCAGAGGTGTTTTACTACTGATCTCACCCTTTTCATTTTGAGGCAGGGTCTCCCTAAGGTGCTTAGAGACTTGCTAAATTGCTGAGGTTAGCCTTAAATTTGCAATCCTCCTGCCTTAGCCACTTTGAGTTGTTGAGATTACAGGTTTGTGATACTGTGCCCAGCTATGAAAACAGTATATATTTTTTTAAGCTATGTTGCTTCTAATGCCAGAGCAGGTTGTTCCTGTGTGACCAACTTACTATTTTTATGGATATATCATAGGTGATAGGATCACTCTCTAATATCAGGAGAAATGAAAGCATTCATATACATATGAAAGATATCTCATGTTACTATGATTCTAAATTTTTCCAAATTCAGAATGAAGCATTTTAAAATTAGCTAGTCTTGGGGCTGGAGTTGTGGCTCAGTGGTAGAGAATTTGCCTAGCATGTGTGAAGTACTGGGTTTGATTCTTAGCACCCATATAAATAAATGAATAAAATAAAGGTCCACCAACATCTAAAAAAAATTTCAAAAATAAAATTAGTCATTAAAAAATAAACAATTTATTTTAGTGCTAAGGAAGTCTAGTTAAATTTTTGATCTTTCTTTTTCATCATTATAGATATTGAGACAAATTGTTTAGAAGAAAAAAGCAAGAGAGACTATTTTACACAGTTGGTATTAGCATGTTTGGTAAGTTTTAAAAAAATGTTCCTTTTCTAAATTTTTCATTTAAAAGTTATAATCACAGTTACTCACGTTAATGGACAAGAATATTGGCATGCTATGGACTTCAATATAAGGTGAGATTTGGGTTTTGGAATTGAGTGTTTCATGAAATTAGACATGCTGTTTCTATGACATAAGCTTGTTACCAAATCATTTAAACTGTATAAGAAAAACTTTTAAGTGATATTCCTGACCTAGTAAGTTCCTAACAAAGAAAAAGGTAAGTATTTATAAATAAAGTAAGTTGAAATGGTTGTAGATAGCTTTTAAACTGAATTTTTTCATAAACACTTTTTTAGGCAAGGACAAGATGGAGGTAGTTTAAAAATAATAAATTCTAGAACTTGTTATAATCATTGTCTAGGAACCAAGTAGGAATGCCATTACTCTGACCTTGAAGAATATCCTGTCTTTGCTGTTGGAATTTGACTTAAAGTAGAAACTAGAGGAGGCCAAAGTACGTACTGTATTATCTTAAGTGAAAATTCAGTTAAGACAGACTCAATGAGAATTTCATCTGTAGTTCTTATTGTTTGATGGCAGTGTATAGCATGCTTATAATTTTTAAGTAAATTTTTGGAAAGAGCTGTATATACTATATATTTCATTACTTGTAGTCATTTTTGTTTACTAGACTTTCCAAGCCTTTTTGCAAATTATAATTTGTGTTTTTTGTATTCTTGTAAAAAAGTTATGTTTAATATATTTAAGATTGTGAATGCATCGTTGGAATGCTAAAGAATAAAAGTTCTTTAATTATTTTTTAATACAGTATTTAGTTTCAGACACAGTTCTAAAGGAACGCCTGGATCCAGAAACATTGGAATCATTAGGGCTTATCAAACAATCACAGCAATTCAATCAAAAGTCTGTTAAAATCAAGACAAAACTTTTGTAAGTATATATATCTTATGTTGCAGATCAAATAGCTGAATGTACTTTCTCATTTTAAATACTAGCAGTTTCTAAGTGTACTTTGAAGAATTTTTTTGTGATTAGCGTGGGTCTTGTGTTTTTTGCCTTCTAAAAGTAGCCTAAGATTATTGAGTCGGCAGTGGGTTTTACGTGTGTGAAACCAATGTTAATTTTGTCCATTATAAAGTTAAAATAATACTCAATGCTTTGTATTATTAGCAATAAAATAATTTCATAGCTATGACCATATTCTATATATTCTTTATCAATAATGGAAATAATGGTTTGTTATTGTTCCTTGGTATTAGTAATATTCTTTCCTTTTGTTACTGGTATTCCCCATGTAAGTAATGTTAGGGTTCTTTTATGAACTACTGTTGCTTTCTATACTAAAAGAGACACAATGAGGTTAACTGTCTATCAATAGCCATTTTTATGATTGTTTTAAGTTAGAGATATTCAATGAGAAGAATATACTATTCTGTATAAGCTTGTTAATTGAAATTCAATTTTTCTCTTTAATGATATTTCTCTGATTTCAGTTATAAGCAACAAAAATTCAATTTGTTAAGAGAAGAAAATGAAGGTTATGCCAAGCTGATTGCTGAATTGGGGCAAGATTTATCTGGAAATATTACTAGTGATTTAATCTTAGAAAATATCAAATCTTTAATAGGTAAGATATATACACTCTATATGTTAAGTTTTTTTCACCCGGTGAATAATATCCATAAAGATAAAAGGCTTGTATTACATATAATTTATAAAGATAAAAGGCTTGTATTACATATAATTATTTTTATTTAAGAAATAAGAGAAGTGTCTAGCTTATACTTTTAGTATTTTATCAGTAATTATAAAATTTAACATGGTATTCCTGAAAAATCTTTTTGTTACCTGTTACTTATGTGTTTATATTAGTTATTGTTCTTTCTAGCATGTCTGTATTCTTTTTTTTTTTCTGGATGAAAGACAATTTATTATTTTTATGTACAGAAATGCAACAGCATACATTTATCCCAGTTTAGTGGCGAGTTCTTCAGCCTTTGCCTTTTCCAGCTTGGCAATGCGAGCCACAGATTTTGGACCCAGGACGTTGCCTCCCCAGTGGCAACGGATCTCATCATATCTGTCATTGTAGTTGGTTCTGATAGCTTCCACCAACTTAGCCAGAGCTCCTTTGTCTTCCGAGTTRACCTGTGTGAAGGCAACAGTGGTGCATGTCTTCCTGTGAACCAGACGTCCCAGCCTAGCCTTCCCCTTGATGATGCAGTAAGGGACTCCCATCTTGCGACACAGAGCAGGCAGGAAGACAACCAGCTCTATGGGATCCACATCATGTGCGATCACTACCAGCTGAGCCTTCTTGTTCTCCACCAAGGTGGTGACAGTATTGACCCCTGCTCGAAGGACAGGTGGTCTCTTTGTGGGAACATCCCCTTTGCCAGCAGCCTTCTTCTCAGCCCGGGCCAACAGCCTCTGCTTCTTTTCCTGCTTGGTCTCAGGTCTGTACTTGTGGGCAAGCTTAAGCAGCTGGGTAGCTGTTTGGCGGTCCAAGGCCTGGGTGAACTGGTTAATCGCAGGAGGCACTTTCAGCCGCTTATAGAGAATAGCTCTTTGCCGCTGTAGCCGGATGTAGCGGGGCCATTTTACAAAGCGGGTAAGGTCCCTTTTGGGCTGGATGTCCTGTCCGATGCCGAAGTTCTTCCGCCTCTTCTTGAAGAGCGGGTTCACTACCTTCTTACCCTTCTTAGCCTCCTTCTTAGCGGGGGCCGGGGCCACCTTCTTCCCCTTGGCCTTCTTTCCCTTCGGCATCTTGGTTGGCAGGAGGAGAGAGCATGTCTGTATTCTTAAGTATTCCTCAATCATCTTATAGAGGGCACTCCTGAAACCTGGGCATCTATTGGTTCATTTGGACTTGATTTAAAAAAATCTCTTTAAGGAGACTTTGATGCACATTATCTTTATAACAGCCTCTTGCAGAATGTGTGAAAGTGTAACAGATAAGAGCTGTGTTATTCTCCCTCCCTTTTAAGTAACATTTCTATAGCATTATTTATTTGCATTGAGCATTTGGAGGGTTAATTTCTATAAAAAGGTTGAATGAATCATAGAAAAATAGGGTAATCTTAATTTTCTGAGGGCAGAAAGATTTTCTGTTATTATTTCCTAGGTGTTGTGTTGTTTTAGGGAAGATTTTGCAACACTATGCTCTGTTAAGTTTTGAGACCTGCAAGAGGAGTCTTATTTCCTGCTCATTGATTTTTTTTATCTTGTAGAATGCTTTCCCCCAGCTTCTTGGTGGTTCTTTGTTTTTGCAATTTATATGTGATTAAGAAAGCTGGTGGTTTAATCCATATCCCCTTCCTCCAATGCTTTCTGTAAGCACTCAAATAAAATTATACTTATTACTGTCTTCCTTGTTCTTTGGTTTGGCTTTTGGTAACCAAAAAAGTGTAGAAGGTAATGCAACTTTTTTTATCTTTTTCTTTGAAATACATCTAGTTCTGGCAGTTCTACTTTCTTTGCTACTTCTGCTCTGTGTTGATTTAACATCAGGATGAGTGGTCTTCTAGAGTGACAGGACTCTTGCTTACCTGTTTGGCAGTGACTCATTTTTAAAAGTTCTCCTATAATTGTTCTTTTCTGTTCTTTCTAGGGTAAGCTCTACATTTTCCCTACAGTAGTTTTTAAAATCTCTTTTGAGAAGCTTGTTAGTACTGTTGCATTATTTGTCTTTCCTGTATCTTGTCATGTACTTAAGATAGTATTCCCTCCATAAAAATACTGTGGTATGTAAGCTTCTCAGTCCTTTGTTTTTTCACTGTTGACATTTTTATTTCTTCTGTTTTTTTTTTTTTGGTCCTTATGAATTTATACCTTTTTATTCCTTTGTTATTTTGGGCAACATTTCAAAGGGATTTGCTTGAAGGTGTATTTTTATCTAACTGGAAAATGTACATTACTTTTCTTCAAATTTGCTCTCATAGAGAGCAGGATATGTTACTATCTCTGAAGAACAAATGTGACAATTACCACCATAAGTTCATGACATATGTGGATATTCCATGAGTATAAACAGTTTGATTTCTTGGGCTGCCTCTTTGCTCTAACCCATCAAGTATATAGACTAGATGCACTCAAAACAGCAGCTCTTGTAGCCTTTCTTGACTACCCCTGTCAATACTTCCTGTTGTTCCCTGATCATTTTTCTTCTTAGCAATTATTACCTTATAATGTACAGTCAGCCCTCTCTATCTGCAGATTAAACTAACTGTGGGTTAAAAGCATTCAGGGAAAAAATTAAAACAGTACTAAATGTCTAGAGACTTTTCTTGACATTAATCCCTAAACAATACTGTGTGATACCTACAGTGTATTAGGAACATTATGTATATTTTATGTTGTCTTAGATATTATAAGTAATATAGAGATGGTTTAAAGTATACAAGAGAATATATGTAGGTCATATGCAGATAATGTTCCATTTTATATAAGGGATTTGAGCATGTGTAGATTTTGATATCCTTAGGTATTCTGGAACAACCTCTCTCAAATACTGATGGACAACAGTACTATGTATTTTATCCTCCTTGTTCCCACTAAATGTATACTCCATGAGGACAGCATTTTTTTCTGGTCTGGCTTGTTTAGTACCTTTTCCTCACTGCCTGGTATGTGGGTGCTAAATAAATCCTGGGTAGAAAATGAATTACTCCTTCTCCCTTTCTTACAGAGTTCATAGTGGTTCTTATCTCTTCCCCGACTTGGAGAAATTTAGAAAGTTTATGTCCCTTGCCCAGTCCTTGTTTCTCTGTGGCAGATGACCTCTCATTCCCCATGGTTGCCTGAGAAAGGAACTTTTGATGTGAAAATTGATGTCAAGACTTTAATTCCAATGAGTATTCTTTTGAGTGTACGAATTTGTTAAGATGGAGTTTCAAACTCCATCTTAGACCTCATCTCTTCTGACTAGAACAGCACACTAACAAGGCATCTTATTTTTCATAACATCTTCAGATGGATTTCTCTGTGTTTATTCCCACTAGTTTCTCTTTGGGAGCCATTTAGAAAGGTGTAATACCTCCCACAAAACTATTTTATATCCGCTCTCCTTCACTAACCATTATCAGTTTGTTAATGAAGGAGAGGTATGTGTAAGATAGGTGCACTTACATTCAGGGTACATTACTAGAGATAATGTAAGCTAGGTGTACTTATATTCAGTGTACTTGGTTTGATAGAGAAATCCTTATTTATTATCCTTTATCTAAAAGGCAATTGTTTGCTCCCTAAAAGATTGTGGCACAGCAGAATGTTTATATCTTATTTGGCAGCCTGGGGCTATTTATTTACTGCATGTGCATGCAGAGAAGCAGAACTATTATGAATCTGTAGGGTGGTTGCAATCTCATGTATGACACTAAATTTGAATGATTTACTAAAGAGCAATCAAGAGTGATTAGTAGACTCTTGATCTGCCAAGTCATATATAGATCCTGTCAGGTGGTTCTTGCATCAGGGTGGCAAAAACATCTTTTTAGAAATTAGAGGAAAGAATATTAGAGTTGGGCTCCTTTGGTTGAACTATTAAGTATACTACCCTTTTGGATGCCCTTCAAAAAATCAAAACATCTTGTTATATGCCCTGAATATATGCAATAAAAAAGTGATTGATAGGTATTCTTTCCTTCTAAATCAGTAGTTAGCAAATTTTTTTTGTAAGAGGTAAGAGGTTTTTTTTTCTTTAATTTTTTGGGGGTCATGTTTTTTGTTGCAACTACTCACTCTGCCATTATAGGGTGAAAGTAGCCACAGATAGTACATAAATATGACTGTTTCAGTGAAACTTTTTTTTTTACAAAAACAGCCAAATGGATTTAACCCACAGGCCATAGCTTGTTGATTCTTGATATATCCATCTCTCTCTCTCTCTCTCTCTCTCTCTCTCTCTCTCTATATATATATATATATATATATATATATATATATATATATGAAGACATATAGATATATAGATATATCTGCCTAAAAACTAGTTGTGGAGCTACTTTACTTGAGCTTAGTTTTGGAGATTAAGAATGATTCTTCTTTGGTTTTGGGGTTAGCAGTTCCAGGGTCTAGTTGTCCTAAGCTCTAATCCTTATTTTCTCCTAGAATTAAGAGTTCAGAACCTTCATTTGTTGCTTGGTGTCTAAAGTTGTAGATCACCTAGGAAAGATAGGGTCTTTGTCCTTTTAACTTCACCAGTTCTCTTGGTTTCTTGTCAAATGATCAGAGAAATATTGAAAACAAAGTAATACCCCAAGCCAAACAGTTCCCCCCCCCCCCTCGGGAAGATTATAGTACACTTAACCCCTTTGACTACATTATTTTGAGAATAGTTAGTATTTAATTATCTTTGAATTAATTTGAAAACTGGTCCATTTAGCCCATATGCATCTTGTCATCATGTCAGCTTTCTCCTATTCCTTTGAAAGGGAAGTTATTTGTCTGCCAGCTTTACTTAAAATTTGGCTTTATTAAAATTTCTTGACTGTATGTTAATTAAAAAGTCATTTTTTCCTTCTGCTATGAAACAGTGATTAATGTTTTTAAGCATAGGATTTTAAAAAATAATAATTTTATTTTATTAGTTATATTTTTCTGCATCTTGATTTATTTTTTTTACCCTGAGATGCTGTTTTTTTTAACAAACACTATTTTACAGAAATAGTCTAGCATAAGTTTTTTTAACTGTTGAGAGATGATTTAACAATTCCAAATACAGTATTTCCTATCAGTTTTTCAAAGCTATTAACAAAAAAGTTTTATTCTATTTTTAAATATATCAAGCACTTCTAAATATCTAGAACTAGATATTTTACAAAAGAACTTTTCTACTATGCACATAGCACTGGTAAGTAAAACTGCACATATGGCAATGGTTATAATATGAGGTTATCTTCTTTTTTTTTTTTAAAGAGAGAGAGTTTTAATATTTATTTTTTAATTATCGGCGGACACAACATCTTTGTTTGTATGTGGTGCTGAGGATCGAACCTGGGCCGCACGCATGTCAGGCGAGCACGCTACCGCTTGAGCCACATCCCCAGCCCTTTTAGTGCTTTTATATTATTTGTTTTTAAAATTCTTGCGTGGCACTGGGGATTGAACCCAGGGTCTCTCATCTGCTAGGCAAGTGCTCTGCCATTGAGCTATAGCCATAGCCCTAGTGATTTTGTATTACATGAAGTTGTTATAAGATTGGAGAATTTACTGGGTCTTACACAATCTATTGTCAGTGTTATAGCAATTTGATTGTAGTTTTTCAGTTTCATTGCGGCATAATTGATGTACACGTCTGTGAAAACAGCACCCAAACAAGATAGTGCATATTCCTGTCTTTTTCCTTCAAATACCCTCTTATCTTTTGGTATTATCTTCCATTCCTCCTCCTTTCCTTCTCCCCAGGCCACCATAGATCTGCTTTCTGTCACTTTAGATTAGTTTGCTTTTTCTTGTCTGGCTTATTTCATTCAGCATTATTACTATTTTAGCATAATTATTTTTTCTGTGTTGGTGCCTGTATCAATAGTTCTTTCCTTTTTATTGCCGAGCAGTATTTGACTATGCATGCTACCCTTGTATTAGACTATTTGTCTATTCATTCACATGTTTGTGGACATTTGGGAGTGTTTCCTATTACAAACAATGCTGCTATGAACATTGGCGTACAAGTCTTTGTATTGACACAGATATTTCTTTCTCTTGGGTAAGTAGCCTAGGAACGGAGTAGCTGGGTCATATGGTACATTAACTTTTAAAGAAACTGCAAGTTTAGCAAAGTAGTTGTCCCATTTTACATTGCCATTAGCAGCATTTTGGAGGTACAGAGGGAGGCAAAATATTTAGTAGTTTCTTCTCCATGCTTTTGAAAAACATTTTTGAATAACTTACAAAAACTTGGAACTCTTATTGGTAAGATATCATATTTTTGTTCTTTTTTTCTTCCTTAGTGTGAGAAATTGAAAAAAAACCCCAGTGTTCTTAAATGTGTCACATAAAAGAGGGAAAAATACTTGTATTTGGATTATTTGGTTTTCTGAGTGATTGGTAAGATACTAAGAAACAGATGTTAGTGTGGCATTAATAAAATAAGTGTGGAGTTAGTAGAAGTAACTCTGAAGATCCTTTAAAAAGGTTTGGGGCAGGAATACGTTTAAGAGTTTTCTTAAAAATTCCTTCAGTTGACTATCATGAATTTATAACTTCAAATATTTAACCTCACATATCTCCCTAAATCCAGCACAGTTCTTTACTATTAGAAGAAACTGGTGTTTCTTTGCTGGCCCAATGATGTGGTTAGTTTGCATTTAGGGGCTTAATATCTAATGAAAAAATACATAATTTACAATTCTAGAGTCCCATTCAGCTTTATACAAAGCATGTGGGAACTGAAGGAACAGCAGATGGATATCACATGCTCACTCCAGGTCATAAGAATATGTTTTATTGGGCTGGGGATGTGGCTCAAGCGGTAGTGCGCTCGCCTGACATGCGTGCGGCCCAGGTTCGATCCTCAGCACCACATACCAACAAAGATGTTGTGTCCGCCGAGAACTAAGAAATAAATATTAAAAATTCTCTCTCTCTCTCTCTCTCTTAAAAAAAAAGAATATGTTTTATTGAAAGGAATGGTATATAGAATTGCTTATATTATTTACATTATTTCTCTTTTTTTGCCATGTGCAGATGGTTGAATTCTCATAACTTAAATGTTTAAATGATACAATTTCACTATAATATCATTGTGGTAACAGCTGAAGCTGAATTCATATAGAGTTAAAAAACAGGGTAGGGAGGTTGGTAGGAATGTTTATAAAGATCAGATCCAATTGCCCCTTTTTAGTTCACACTAGGAGATTAGCATGGATAAGTAGCCAGTGGACACCTAGTCAGTGCCCCACCCCTTTCCTTCCCATGCTCTACCTAGGTTGGTTGTTTTCTTCCTTTTTTTCTTGTGTCATCTAAACTCCTTTGTCATTCCCCGATTCCCTAGGTGTTCTCTCTTTGGTATCAGTAGACTACCACTTCCTTTAGGATGCTAACAAAAAACTATCAATATAAATCAGTGGTACAAGTATATTTTGTAGCTTTGTTGTATATGTAAGATAAACTATTCATGATTCTAAAAATGATAGTCCAATTTCATGAATCTAAACTTTAAACATATATTGGTGTTCTAATACTTTTCCCTAAAACATTTTTCAAAATTGCTTTAGTTGCCTATTTTGCTAAGAATTAGTAATGTGGATCTCTTTCACTAATCTGAGTAATCAAGAACTGATGAGATAGTATGACATAGAAACATGTTTATTTGACTAATATCACAGGATCTAGGCTCCAACCCAGTTCTGTCATTAACCCATTCTATGATTCTGGGCAAGTCACATTCTTATCTGTAAAATGCATGGTGTTCTTATAATTTTGGAAGTTATGAAGATTTTCCTCCAGAAGAGGGGGAGTAAACTAAAAAGAAGTTGTTTTTGAAACCATTTTTATCTTGCTATTTGTTATCCCTGAAATTTAATGGCTTTTAGTAGAAATGTCATATAATCACTTTTGAATTTGTGTATATCTCATTTGTTACAGGATGCTTTAATCTGGATCCCAATAGAGTTTTGGATGTCATTTTAGAAGTGTTTGAATGCAGGCCAGAACACGATGACTTCTTTATATCTTTATTAGAATCTTACATGAGTATGTGTGAACCGCAAACACTGTGTCATATTCTTGGGTTCAAATTCAAGTTTTACCAGGTAAAAAAAAATATGTATATACAGATTAAATTCATACTTTTATGTATATAATTTAATTTGAGTTTCATTTATAAATGATTTGTTTCAGCTCTGATTTATTTAAAGCAATGGAGAGCTAATGATGCATCATAATGAGTACCATACTAGTAGTATGAATGATGTGGTATGAAGGCATAGAGGAAAGCATGATTAAATTTTGTCTCAGAAAAGATGGATTCAGGGAAGACTTTATTGATGTAACCTTTTTTTGACCTGGTCTTTAAAGAATAAGTAGGAGTTTGTTATGAGTTTTCTATGCAGGAGTGGTAAACAGTGTGATAGTGAAGATGTGGTGTGAATATACATAACTGATTGAAGGAATGGTACAGGTCTAGAATGTGCCTGGATTATAAAATGGGAAAAGAAAGGACAGAAAATGACTCTGGAAAGGTAGGTGCACTTTAGTTGTCATAGGCCTTGAATGTTGTGTCAAGATTAGAATTTTATTATATAGAAAATGGCTATTGGAATTTTTTATGGACACGAATAAGTACGTGAGGCATATCTTACATAATTTTTCATTGAGTCTCTACAAAAGCTGTCAAGCTAATCTATGCCTCTGGTTATTTCTTTCAAATTCATCCTTCATATTATCACTGTTATATTCTTAAAAGGTTTAATTGAGGTTCAAAAATCTTTGCTTAAAAGGCTGGGGTTGTGGTTGAGCAATAGAGTGCTCACTTAGCAAGTGCAAGGCCCTAGTTTCAATCCTCAGCACCACATAAAAATAAATAAATAAAATAAAGGTATTGTGTCCGACTATAACTAAAAAATAAATATTTTAAAAAATCTTTGCTTATAGGATGAAATCCAAATGTATATGTGTAGCAGAAAAAGCTCATCAATCTGGCACTGTTCTTTTTTCCTCAAACTTATCGTAGTCATTTTTTCTCCTTAAATCTGATATTCTAGTCATTATCAAATGACTAGCTATTTCCCACATTTAGTTATAGACATTGCTATGAACTTTTGTTCATGCAGTTCCTTATAACTAGAAAACCCTCTTTCTTTTCTTCATCTTGTGAACTCCTATTTATTCTTTAAGAATAAATGTGCTACTTGCTCTATAAAGTCTTAATTGGCACTTTACCTATTCAGAATTGGTCATTTCTTAATCTGTATTCACATAAAACCTGACACACACATTTCTAACACTTCATCAGGTTACATAGAATAAACTTTTTTTTTTTTGCCAGATTGTGAGCCATATAGGGCAGATTCTATGTTTTATTAATGTCTGGAATTAGCCTATGGTGAATGTTTATTAATTGTAAATGTGTGCTCTATGTTTTATGAAGATAATTCTCTTGAGAGCAGGGAATATTTTAATTTAATAAGGCCTCCACTGTACTTTTGGTATAGCTTTGCTAATGTGCCTACTTACCTGGGATAATCAGCTACTCAAAAAAATTCTCATTCATTGAATGTTAATTATATCCTGTTGCTTTGCTAGACACTGGTAGTACTTTGCTGAAGAGGAAGGTCCATCCCTGTACTCTTGGAGCTTGTGTTTATGATAATAAGAATGATATAGCACCTGCTGCCTCTGCTTATCTTTTATTTGTGTATTCCCTGGAATGGTCCAGGAGATAGAATGCTCCAGAAGATAAAGCAGATCAGAATTCAAAAGCATATAGCTTTCAAGCCCAAACAAGGTGCATGGCAGTGTTTTGGGCAAGAGAGTACTATACATTTGTTTAAAAATTAGCAATGGCAGGGTGTACCTTTTCCTGTCAGGAGCCTGAGAAAACACTCTTAGTTTAAGGAAACAGAGTTTCAAGTACTCCATCAGATTTTAAGAGGCAGCATGATTGCTTTGGGTTTGAGAACATAAAGCCAACCTCTGTGGCAAAAGGGTAGCTAACATTTAACTTTGGGCATGATTAATTAGAATATATGTTAGGGTTTTGGATACTGTAGATTTTAGAGTATATTACAGTGAATAATGATGAACTATATAACATCAAGTTATCTCAGTGGTTGGTTTTAGAATAAAAAAATCTTATGAAAATATTCTTATGTAGCTTTTTTTTGAGCGGAATTAACGTATACTGGAGAAGTGCCTGACAGTTTTCAAATAATCCTTTTTTTTTTTTGTAGATAATGGGTATTGTTTTTCTTAATAAGAAGTATCCATCCAAAAAATATCTGATTTAGAAATAACCTGTTATTGGAAGGAGTGAGTCTCATATTGCTTTAAGTAATACTGGTCCACTGTTTCTGTTGCTAGGAACATTTTTTTCTATTGTTAAGGTTGTTTCTGTTCTAATTGTTAACATTGTTTCTATTCTAATTGCAGTAGAAAAATTGTTTCTATTGCTATTTTTTCCTTGTGAGAATCTGTTGTATCCAGGGCCACTAAAGGTAGGGAAAGAAATATCAGGGATTTTAGTTATTTTGTGATCTGGGAAGAAAAGTAAGGAAAGCTATGAAAATCAAAAACTGCTTAGGAAATATATCCTTGAGAATTGGCTCCCAGGCATGTATGGTCAACCTGTACTTTGCCTAACTCCATCATCCTCCTTTTCCATGACTTCCTGAAGATGTTTCCTCTCCTTTCTCCCAACCCATATTTTGACCAATTGGGAATTGTTTGGAACAGCAGGCTTCTGTAGGCAGAACTAAATTTTCCTACTATGATGTTGGCAAGAGGGATTTAATTCTAATATCAACCTGTGGTACTGAATGTTTTGACTTGGAAGAGTAATAGAAGATGTAAGCAGTTTTAAAGCACATGATCATTTTGAAGAGTAAGGGCAGGCACATCTCTGTTCCTCTTACAGGGTTAAGGGAAATACAGGGATAAGGTAAAGCACAAAGAACAGTAGGAAAGAAGTGCTATGAAGCATAAGGGTACTAAAAGGCAAGTTTGGCTAGAGTTGTTTTGCCACAGGAAAAGAGATTGTGGCTCTCATCTGTGTCCCAACCCCTTGATTTCTGGTTCAAAACAGTGTTAACATGGTCAAGCCCTGTTATGCTTACCCCAAATTCATTCATTTAAGAAATGTTGATTGAACACCTCTTGGGTAGTAGGTGCTGAGGCTACATCTGTAAACAAATAGAAAGATTTTTTAGACTTTCTTAATTGAGCTCATCTCTTCCCCACTCCACAGCATTGAATAATATTGACAAGGCAAATCCCTAGAAGACTCTACCTTTTGGATTTATATAATTGCTTTTTCACAGTTGGATTAATTTGTTCTTTGTCCCTGTATTTATTATATACTTGGAGTTGAGTCTAAAGGCTTGATTATACTGAGTAAAATGATTAATGACAAAAATATATGGTTATAATGTTGTATATTGCATAACTCCAATGACTATCTTTAAATGATTCAGTAATGGTGGCAGCCTGATGCCTCATTTATACAGTGACATTCCCCTTCTCATCAGTAGCAAGGTAAATACTATGTCATCTTGTGAACATTCAGTTTCTTATCAACCTTTTGTTAAATGGTTTATAATCCATGGTTAATCCTTTCTTGAGCCACATTTTTTTTTCTTAGAGGTTCTAAATTGCTGATTTACTAATGCTAATTTACCTCTATAATCATTAGCTGTCATTCTTCAACAAAGAAGAGCTGCCCTTTATCAGCTCAGGCCATTTGGTTTCCTTAAAAATGCAGTTTCTACTGGAAAGTCAGACGTGTGCTTTAATTTTTCCCATTAATTACCAGCTGTCAGAGTAAAGAGTTTCTTTGGTAGCAACCTCCAGTGGTGATATGAATGGTGAGTGGGTGTGTGGGATGTGCTTGTGCATATTTGTGTTGATTTTCAAAGGATTCATCTGACTGATTATGGTAGCAGTGAATGTTGATGAGATTCTAAATATATTTTGAAGATAGAGCAATCATAATTTTTGATGGATTGGATGCAGGATGTGAGGAAGTAGAGTGGAGGACTATTCTGAAATTTTTTTTGGACCAAGCAGCTATAAAGATGGTATTATCTACTGAGATGCGGAAAATTTCAGGTGAAATGGGTTCAGAATGTTGGAGGTGGGAATGTAGAATTCAGTTGTGTATGTGTTAATTTTTGAGATATGTGTTCCATATCCAAGTGTAAATAACTGATATTTGAATCTGGTAAATCACTGAATTTGAATCAATAACTGGATGCATGGAATCTAGTGTTCAGGAGAATGGACTGGGCTACAAATAGAAATATGTGTATCAAAAGCATATGGATGCTATTTAAAGTTGTGACATTGGATGAAGTCAGCAAAATTTGGATAGAGAGAAATATGAGGAAAGACCTAAGGACTGAACACTGGGGCACTTCAGTTGTTAAGGGGTCTGAGAGAAAGAGGAACCAGCAGAAAAAGTGGAGAAGGAACAACCTGTTTGAGGAAAACAATGAAAATGCATTTTGGAAGCTTACTTGAGGAAGAAGTGATCAACTGTGTCAAATGCTTCTGATAGGTCATTTAAGGACTGAAAATTGACTATTTGATTTATCATTTATGAGATAACAGTGAGCTATTTTGGTGGAGTTGGGGTTGTAGTAAGATATAATGGGAAGAGTTGAATTGGAGACAGAATCAACAACTGTCAAGCAGTTACTACAAATGTATGCAGACACATGGGGTGGTAGATGGTAGAGGAAATGGGTGCAAAGATGGGAGAGTGAGAACATACTTGTGTGCATATGGGAATGACTGAGTAGAAAGGGGGAAACTGCCCAGCTACTTGGGAGATTGAGGAAGGAGGATCACAAATTGGAGGCCAGCATGGGCAGCTTAGGAGAAGTCCCATCTCAAAATAAAATGCAGAAAGGGCTGGTGTATTGCTTAGTGGTAGAGTACTTGCCTAGCATGTGCTAGGCCCTTGGTTTAATCCCTAGTACCACCAAAAACAAAACAACCATCACAAACAACAACAATGACAGTCAGTGATACAGGAGAGACTTATTGGGGCAGTAGTTTTTCCTTTGCCTTGTCCTTCCTTTCACCTGCTTTCACC